AGAACCCTGTCAGTCTCACCTAGAACACTGCAGTCTCACCTAGACGCATGCAGTCTCCCCCTGGAACACTTCAGTCCCCATCAAGACCCTCCAGTCTCACTTAAAACCCTCCAGATCACACTATTAACTTATTTGAGTATTCCTAGAACACCACACTGTCACCTAGAACCCTGCAGTTTTACCTAGAACCGATACATCTCACCTAGAACCTTTCAGTCCCTCATTTAGGACCCTCCAGTCTCACTAGTACCCTGCAGTCACACCTAGAACACACAGTCTCAACCTAAACCCTCCACTCTCCACTAGAACTCCTCCGGTCTCACTTAGAACTTCTAACAGTCTCACCACAAGCCCTCCAGTCATCACTTAGAACCCTGCACCTCACCTAAACCTATAGACTCATCTAGAACACTAAAGCTACACCCTCGTCAAAACTCTACAAGCCTCCATCCATAACGCTACAGCCTCATACTAAAACACTGCAGCCTCATTCTAGAACATTACAGCCTCACCTAGAACCTACAAGCCACACCTACAACACTTCTTCCTCACCTAGAAAACCCTACAGTCTCACCAGAACCCTCCAGACACCTCAGTTAAACCCTTCAGTCTCACCTAGAACCCTACACCACGCTCATCTAGACCCCATAAGCCTAACAATAACCTTACAAACCTCATCTAGAACACTACGGTCTCACCTAGAACCTACAGTCTCATCAAGAACCCTCCAGACTCATCTAAAGCCATCCAGTCTCACGTTAGAACCCTCCAGTCTCACCAGAACCCCTCCACTCTACCATCTAGAACCCTCCAGCCACACCTAGAACACTATTAGCTCACTTAGAACCTTACAGTCTCTCCTAAACCTCCTATTCTCACCTAGAACCCTTCACCCACTAGAACCCTGCAGCCTCACCTAGAACCCTAAACAGCCTCACATAGAGTCCCCCCCTAGTCTCTTTAAAATCCTACAGTCTCACCTATAACCCTCCAGTCTCAACTAGAACCCACCTTTCTCACCTTGAACTTATAGTCTCACCTATATCCCTCCAGCTCATCTAGAACCCTATAGTCTCACCTAGAACCCCCCAGAATCACCTAGAACCCTCCAACCTCATCTAGAACCCATCCAGTCTTACCTAGAACCGTCCAGCCTCACCTAGAACTCTACAGTCTCACCTAGAATATTAGTTTCTTAGAACCCTACATCCTCATCTAGAACCCTACAGCCTCTACTAGAACATTACAGTCTTACCTAGAACTCTACAGTCTCACCTAGAACCTTACAATGTCACCTAGAACCCTACTGCCTCATCAAGAACCCTTACAGTCTGCATAGAATTAATTACATACAGCCTTTCTGAACCCTAAAGCCTCATCTAGAACCCTACAGACTATCCTAAAACACTTCAATCTCACCTAGAACCCTACAGTCTCATCTAGAACCCTACAGTCTCACCCAGAACCTTACAATCTCACCTAGAACCCTCCAGTCTCACGTACAACACTACAGTCTCACCTAGAACCCTACAGTGTCACCTAGAACCCTCCAATCTCACCTAAAACTTTACAGTCTCACCTAGAAACCTACAGTCTCAACCTTGAACACTACAGCCTCCTCTAGAACCCTCCAGTCTCACCTAGTACACAACATTCTCACCAAACCTTCACCTCATCTAGAACACTACAGCCCAGCAAGAACACTACCGCCTCACCTGGAAGATTACAGCCCTTACCTAAACCCTACAGCCTCAGCCTAGAACCCTAACAGTCTCACCTAAAATATTATAATAGCCTCACCTAGAACCATATCAGCCTCATCTAGAATATTACAGCCTCACCTAGAAGACTGCAGGCCTCACCTAGAAAAACCCTACAACCTCACCTAGAACTACTACAGCGTCACCTAGTTTATTACAACCCAACCTTCAACCTAGAACCCTTCAGCCTCACCTAAATTCTACAGCCTCATCTAGAACACTACAATCTTTCCTAGAACCCTACAGCCTCATCTAGAACCTTACAGCCTCATCTAGAACTCTGCATCCTCATTTGTAGAACCATGCAGCCTCATCCTAGAACCATACAGCCTCACCTGAAACCCATCAGCCCTCACCTAGAACACTATACCTCATCTAAACTCTGCAAGCAGCCTCAACCTAGATCACTACAGATTCACCTAAAACCCAACAGCGCCAACCAAGAACCCTGCAACCTCATCTAGAGAACACTACAGTCCCTCCTGAGAACCCTCCAGTCTCACCAAGAATCCTCCAGTCCTCACCTAGAAAGAAACCTCCAATCTCAACCTAAACAATCCGTCAACTCCACTTAAAAAACCCTACAAACGAAGAACCCCAAACAGTCTTTACTTAGAAACCCTAAGAAACCCCTCCCACAGAGGTAGCTCATCTATATAGCCCTCCAGGATAGAGTCTCACTCAAAAATCCCTCCACTAGTAGCCCTATAGAAAATCCCGGAGCCTAGCCATACACAAATAGCCCACACAAATCCCTGCCAGCGCCCCAAAACCCCCCCCACCAAAACCCGCCACCGCCCCCCCCCCAAATCTAGACCTCACCCGCCCACGCCCCCTCAGCTCCCCCACAACCAACGCCCCCGCCCTGAACAACCACACACCCACCTCCCACACACACTACACCCCCTCTCCCGTCACTTCGCCCCCATATCACACACTCCTCGACTCCTCACCCGACAGACACCCCACTCCCCCCCTCGCCCCGCCCTACCCGGACACCCAACGACAACCCTCACGCCCCCACCCCTTCCGACACACAACACCAACCGAAAACCAACTCACCACCCTACAAGACCACCACTCGAACCCTACATCCACATTCTCAAACACACCAAGCCTCATCTAGATCGCCCCAGAGTCTCACCTTAGAACCCACCCATACACCACCAAGAACACGTCCAAACTCAATCAAGAAGACTCCATTCTCACCAAGACCCCCTACATTCTCAACCTACAACCCCCATTTTACACTTTAGAACCCTCCAACCTCACTTTGCCCCTAGAACCCAACATGTCTCACCTAGAACCCTCCATTCTCACTAGAACCCAACAGTCTCATCTAGAATCCCCTCCAGTCATATCCTAGAACCATCCATCTCATCTAGAACCCTCCATCTCACTAGAACCCACCAATCTCATCTAGAACCTACAGTCTCACCTGAACCCTCCAGTCTCACCTAAACCCTCCAATCTCATCCCGAACTCTCGCAGTCTCACTCAGAACTCTTCAATCCACTGAACTCTACCCCCAATCTCATCTAGAACCAACCAGTCTCACTAGAACCTTCCAGTCTCACCAATAACCCTACAGTCTCATCTAGAAACCCTCCAGTCTTATCTAGAACCATCTATCCATGTCTCACCTAGAACCCTGCATCTCACCTAGAACCTTCCAATCTCATCAAACCCTCCAGCCTCACCTAGAACACTACATCCTCACCTAGTACCCTCTAATCTCACTTAGATACCTTCAGTCTCACCAAAATCCTGGAGTCTCCTTCCTAGAACCCTACAATCTCAACCTAGAACCCTGCCAAGTCTCACCTAGAATCGTACAGTCACACCTATAACCGTCCATTCTCACTTAGAACTTTCCAGTCTCACCTAGAACCCACCAGTCTCACTTAGAACCCTCCAGCCATCACCTAGAACCCTACAGTCCCCCCCCCCTCACCTAGAACCCTCCATCTCACCAGAACACTGTAGCCTCTCCTAGAACCCTACAGGTCTCACTTAGAAATCTCCGTTCACTTATAGCACTACAGCCTCCCTAGAACACTACAGTCTCATCCTAGAACCCTCTATCTCACCTAGAACCGATATCCTTTCCCTAGAACCCACTCCTGTCTCACCTAGAACTTTATAGTCACCCCTAGAAACAATACAGATTCACCTAGAACCCCTACAGTCTCACCTCAGAACGCTACAGTCTCACCTATAACCCACAGTCCTCAACTAGAACGCTACAGTCTCACCCCTAGACCCTACATGTCTCACTAGACACTATAGTGCACCTAGAACTCTACAACTCACCTAAAACACTACAGCCAATACCTAGAACCGCTATAGTCACTCCTAGAACTTACAGTCTCCCCTAGAACCCTGCAATCTCACCTGGAACCCTACAGTCTCACCTAGAACCAAACAGTCTCACTTAGAACCCTACAACCGTCGACCTAGGAAATCTGCTGACAACGACACCTAAAACGTTGCAGCCTGAGCTAGAACTTCAATATCCTAGAACTTTTAATCGCACCTAGACTAGTATCCTCTACCTGTCCTAGATCATTCCAGCCTCACCTAGAACTTTCCAGACAAAGCTAGAACCTGACAACCTCACCTAGAATCTATCTCAAACTCACCCAGACCCCTCTAGACTCACCTAGAAACCCTCAAGTGCCTCCAATCTAGATCATCCAGTCTCCGAGAACCTTCTCAGCCACTCTTAGAACCCTCCCCCCTACTCACCTAGAACCTCTATAATTCTTATTAGAGAATCAATAGAACCCTCTTACTCACCTAGATTTTAACCTGTAAGTCCACTTGGTTTATTTTTCTGCTAAAAAAAAAGAACTGCGTAGAATACCATAGAACACCTCTGTTACTCACCTATAACTCCCCTAGAAGTTCATAAACCCTGCGTATCACTCAACTACAACTTCCCCTAGTAGTGGCCCTCAGACTCTTCTGCTCACCTAGAAACATTTTTTACTCTCCTAAACAGCCCTAGAAGTACCCTAGCATCCTCTTAGTCACCTAGAAGTGCCCTACAATCCAGTATTACTCGCCTTGAACTGCGAGTGTCCTAGAATCTGGCATCACTCACCTAGAAGTGCTGCAGAATCCACTATTACTCATCTAGATCTGATCTAGAAGTGCCCCAGCATCTTACTCTCCAACAAGTGCACTAGAATGGGGTATCACTCGGGTAGAAGTGCTCTAGAACCCGATATTACTCACCTAGAACTAGGGTGGGCCAGCTTTCCATTCTAGCTGACAGACCCTTGAGAAAGATCTGATGTAAGAAGAGTAACGTCTCAGAGTTGAGAAAGATGCTGTTGACATCTTCGTGAGATGAGGGAGGTTTCTTGCTGGATGCTGCCATCTTGAACGGACGCAGGAAGCAACATACTAGAAGGTTTAACTGCTCCACGTACACTTCCTTTCAGCTCCACCATCACGAACACCAGGGCTGCAGGGCAACAGTCACTGTGTCAGGAGCACCAGTGTTCAGGGACACCAGTTGCAGGTAACAGTCACAGTGTCAGGGAGCACCAGTGTCAGGGAGCACCAGGTTGCAGGTAACAGTCACAGTGTCAGGGAGCACCAGTGTCAGGGAACACCAGTGTCAGGGAACACCAGGTTGCAGGTAACAGTCACAGTTCAGGACAACGGTGTCCAGGGAACACCAGGCTGCAGGCAACAGTCACAGTGTCAGGGAGCACCAGTGTCAGGGAACACCAGGTTGCAGGTAACAGTCACAGTGTCAGGGAGCACCAGTGTCAGGGAACACCAGGTTGCAGGTAACAGTCACAGTGTCAGGGAGCACCAGTGTCAGGGAACACCAGGTTGCAGGTAACAGTCACAGTGTCAGGGAGCACCAGTGTCAGGGAACACCAGGCTGCAGGTAACAGTCACAGTGTCAGGGAGCACCAGTGTCAGGGAGCACCAGTTCAGGGAACACCAGGTTGCAGGTAACATCACAAGTGCAGGGATCACCAGTGCGGAACACCCAGGTGCAGAGTAACAGTCACAGTGTCAGGGAGCACCAGTGTCAGGGAACACCAGGCTGCAGGTAACAGTCACAGTGTCAGGGAACAACGGTGTCAGGGAACACCAGGTTGCAGGTAACAGTCACAGTGTCAGGGAACAACGGTGTCCAGGGAACACAGTGTCATGGAACACCAAGGCGGTCAAGGTAACAGTCACAGTGTCAGGGGGAAAAAAAAAAAACAACCGTTGTCCAGGGACACCAGCTGCAGGTAACATTCACAGTGTCCAGGAACAACGGTTGTCAGGGAACACTAGCTGCTGGAAATCAGTCACAGTGTCAGGGACACCATGTTCAGGGAACACCAGGTTGCAGGTAACAGTCACAGAGTCCAGGGAACACGGTGTCAGGGAACACCAGGCTGCAGGTAAATAGCTAGCAGTGTCAGGGAAGAAAAACAACAGTGATAGGGAACACCAGGCTGGCAGGCAACAGTCACCAGTGTCAGGAACATCAGTGCAGGGAGACACCAGGCTGAGTGTAACAGTGACAGTGTCAGGGAACAACGTGTTAGTGAACACCAGCTGCAGGCAAACATTCACAGTGTTAGGAACAACTAGTGTCAGTGAAGCCACAGAGTCAGGGAACAACAGTGTCAGGGAAACAACAGTACAAGTGTCAGGTAACACCAGGCTGCAGCTTGACAGTCACAGTGTTCATGGAACAACCAGTGTCAGACCAGGGAAGCGAAACAGTGTCAGGGAACAAAGTGTCAGGAACACCAGGCTGTGCAGTAACAGTACACACAGTTCAGGAGCACCAGTGTCAGGGAACACCAGGCTGCAGGTAACAGTCACAGTGTCAGGGAACATCAGTGTCAGGGAACACCAGGCTGCAGGTAACAGTCACAGTGTCAGGGAGCACTAGTGTCCAGGAAACACAGGGGCTGCAGGTAACAGTCACAGTGTCAAGGAACATACATGGTCGGTGAACAACAGGCTGCAGGTACGAGTCACAGTGTCAGGGAGCACCAGTGTCAGGGAACACCAGGCTGCAGGTAACAGTCACAGTGTCAGGGAGCACCAGTGTCAGGGAACACCAGGCTGCAGGCAACAGTCACAGTGTCAGGGAACAACAGTGTCAGGGAACAATCAGGGGACCCGAGGCTTCAGGTATACAGTCACAAGTGTCATGGAACATCAGTGTCAGGGACACCAGCTGGCAGTAAACAGTCACCGTTTCAGGGAGCACCCGTGTCAGGGAACACCAGGCTGCAGGTAACAGTCACAGCGTCAGGAGCCCCAGTTACATGGAATACCAGGCTTCAGGGGCCAACAGTCACGTGTCAGGGAACAACAGTGTCAGAACACCATGCTGCAGTGTAACATTCAGTCACAGTGTCAGGAACATCAGTGTCCAGGAACACCAGGCTGCAGGTAACAGTTCGACAGTGTCAGGGAGCACAAGGTGGTCAGGAACACCAGTGCTGCAGGTAACAGTCACAAGTGTCAGGGAGCACCAGTGGTCGTGGAACACCAGGCGTCAGGCAAACAACACAGTTGACAGGGAAAAACAGTTGTTCAGGACACCAGTTACAGGGAAACAACAGTGTCAGGGAACACCAGCAGCAGTAAACAGTCAGAGTGGTCAGGGAACAACAGTGTCAGGAACTAACAGTGTCGTGAACACAGGCTGCAGATAACAGTCACAGTGTCAGGGAACATCAGTGTCAGGGAACACCAGTGTCAGGGAACACCAGGCTGCAGGCAACAGTCACAGTGTCAGGGAACAACAGTGTCAGGGAACAACAGTGTCAGGGAACACCAGGCTGCAGGTAACAGTCACAGTGTCAGGGAGCACCAGTGTCAGGGAACACCAGGCTGCAGGTAACAGTCACAGTGTCAGGGAACATCAGTGTCAGGGAACACCAGGTTGCAGGTAACAGTCACAGTGTCAGGGAACAACAGTGTCAGGGAACACCAGGCTGCAGGTAACAGTCACAGTGTCAGGGAACAACAGTGTCAGGGAAGACAACAGTGGTCAGGGAACACCAGGGCTGCAGGTAACATCACAGATGTCATGGGAACATCAGTGTCAGTGAACACCAGGCAGCAGGTAACAGTCACAGTGTCAGGAACAAACAGTGTCAGGAACACCAAGTCTGCAGGTAACAGTCCATCAGCGTCAGGTAACAACAGTGTGTCAGGGACCAAAAGTGTCAGGGGAACACCAGGCTTGCAGGTAACAGTCACAGTGTCAGGGAACAACAGTGTCAGGGAACACCAGGCTGCAGGTAACAGTCACAGTGTCAGGGAACAACAGTGTCAGGGAACAACAGTGTCAGGGAACACCAGGCTGCAGGTAACAGTCACAGTGTCAGGGAACAACAGTGTCAGGGAACACCAGGCTGCAGGTAACAGTCACAGTGTCAGGGAACAACAGTGTCAGGGAACACCAGTGTCAGGGAACAACAGTGTCAGGGAACAACAGTGTCAGGGAACACCAGGCTGCAGGTAACAGTCACAGTGTAGGAACCATCATGTCAGGGAACACCAAGTCGACAGTAACCGTCACAGTGTCCAGGAACAACATGTCAGGGAACACCAGCCTGCAGTAACAGTCACATGTCAGGAACAACAGGTCAGGGGAACAACAGTGTCAGGGAACACCAGGCTGCAGGTAACAGTCACAGTGTCAGGGAACAACAGCGTCAGGGAACACCAGGCTGCAGGTAACAGTCACAGTGTCAGGGAACAACAGTGTCAGGGAACAACAGTGTCAGGGAACACCAGGCTGCAGGTAACAGTCACAGTGTCAGGGAACAACAGCGTCAGGGAACACCAGGCTGCAGGTAACAGTCACAGTGTCAGGGAACAACAGTGTCAGGGAACACCAGTGTCAGGGAACAACAGTGTCAGGGAACAACAGTGTCAGGGAACAACAGTGTCAGGGAACAACAGTGTCAGGGAACACCTACTACCTCACCTACTACCTCACCTACTACCTCACCTACTGCCTCACCTCTGCCGCACCTACTGCCGTCACCCACCTACTGACCGACACCTACAAACTCACCTACTCTCACCAATCTGCCTCACCTACTGCCTCACCTACTACCCTCACCCTACTGCCGCCTCCACCACCTACTTCTGGCCTCACCCTACTGATTCACCTACTACTACCCACTACTACCTCACCTACTACCGTCACCTACTACCTCACCTACTACCACACCAACTGCTCACCTACTACCGTCACCTACTACCTTCCTACTACCTCACCTACTACCACACCTACTACCTCACTACTACCTCCACCTACTACCTTACCCTACTACCTCACCTACTACCCACCTACTACCTCCCCTACTACCACACCTACACTCCCCTACACCACATCCTACTACCTCACTACTACCACACCTACTACCGTCACCTACTACCTTACCTACTACCACCACCTACCACCACACCTACAACCTCACCTACTACCTATACCTACTACCTCACCTACTAAACCACACCCTACTCCCTCACCTAACTACCTTACCTACTACCTCACCTACTACCTCACCTACTACCTTACCTACTACCTCACCTACTACCACACCTACTACCTCACCTACTACCTCACCTACTACCTCACCTACTACCACACCTATGCCTCACCTACTATCTCATCTCAACCTACTACCTTACCCCTACTACCATCACCTACACCACAACCTACTACCTCACCTACTACTCAACCTACACCTTACTCTACTACCTCACCTACTACCACACCTACTTACCTCACCTACTACCGTCACCTACTGCCTCACCTAACTACCTTACCTACTACCTCACCTACTACCACAACCTACTACCTCACCTACAACCTCACCTACTAGCTTACCTACTACCTCACCTACTACCACACCTTCTACCTCACCTACCTACCACACCTACTACTCACCTACTACCGTCCCCACTACCTTACCTACAACCTCACCTACTACCACACCTACTACCTCACCTACTAACCCTACCTACTGCCTCACCTACTACCTTACCTACTACCTCACCTACAACCACACCACTACCTCACGCTTACTACCGTCACCTACTACCTTAACCACTACTACTCACCTACTACCACACCAACTGACCCCTCACCTACTACCACAGCCTACTACCTCACCTACTACCTCACCTACTACCTTACCTACTACCTCACCTAAACTAACGATTCACCGACTAACTACCTTACCTACTACCTCACCTACTACCACACCTACTAACCTCACCTACTACCTCACCTACTGCCTCAAACCTACTACCTTACCTACTACCTTCCACCTACTACCACACTACTACCTCATCTACTACCTCACCTACTACCTTACCTACTACCTCACCTACTACCACACCTACTACCTCACCTACTACCTC